AACAACTGGTTCTCTGCCCTAATGACCGGCTGGGTAGGTGTGGCTGGGGGGTGGTCATGTGACTGGTGGGAGTGAGTGACATCGAGTTGGCAATGCCCACCCAGGTTTTGTGGTTCCTGGTGTTTTCTTTTCTGTGGGACACGGGTCCAAATGGCTCTTTGAGAATTTAAGGTTGCAGAGCCAGGGCGGGTGGGCAGCCCCACCTGCGATTTCCGAACCGGCTGAATACCACCTCCGGTTGCTGCTAAGAATTCAATGCCCCTTCCTGGAACACTGCAGAGGAAACGTACTCTGTAAATCCAGGGAACAAAGAAGTTAATTTAAAATACTTTGGGGACATCGACACAGTTCTCTCTAATTGCTCATTACTAGTCAGAACTTGAACAAAAAAGAAGAAAAGAAATAGATGACATTTCAATTAGAGTTTGAACGTGCCACCCTGAAGGGTAAGGGAGACATTTACGGTTAAGGAGCGAGAAAAATGAAAACTTAAGAAGTGTGGGCTCCTTGTTAATGAACCAGAATCAAGGAGGCTAAATGCAACCTTCACCACAATAGGTGACACCAGGTTTTAGAGCTTTCATCCATGGGCCAAGGGAGCCCTTCTTGCCTTTACCTACTTCCTGACCAGTGGTGGGTTCCTCCCGGTTCGGTCCGGTTCGGCTGAGCCGGTAGCGGTGACGATATGACGTCACCGAACCGGTTCTCCCTCCCTCCCCCGCCCTCCCATCCCCCCCCCACGTTATTCTTACCTTTTATTTGGTCCCACCCCCAATCTATTGCTGCCTCCTGAGTCCCAGCTGATGACTAGAGGGAAGAAAACTGTTTAAACTCTTGCCGCGGAGCTTCAAAGGGCCGCCTTACAGCTGATCAGTGTTAAAAGCAAACAAATGAGTCGGGTCGTAAGTGCGAGGACTGGTCGTAAGTGCGAGGACCTTCCAGAAATGACTCTGACCAGCTAGCCACGCCCACCTAGTCACATGACCTCCAAGACACACCCACAAAATAAGCCACGCCCACAGAACCAGTAGTAAAAAAATTTAGAACCCACCCCTGTCCGTGACTTCCACTTCTGCTACCTCAATGAGAAATCGGCAGGAAATTTAAGATCTTGGAAGTAGAACGGCAGTTAGAAGAAGATGGATTCAATGTAAGAGCTGGTCAAAGCATAAGGCTTTTCCCACCAAGCCTGTTCTGACCCAGCTCCCCAAACACGACAAACCCTCTGAAGGGAACTCAAAGATTCCTTTATTAGGAGTGCAAAAAGTTTCTCTCTCAACTCAAGCTAACCAGTCTGTCCGGCAGGGAGATGAATAGTTGTCTGCCACGTCTATTCGTCTCCGCTCCCTGCCTTTTATCCCCAGAGCTAGAGTGGGGCTTCTCTAGCAGCGGTGGCTTTTCCGTCCCGAGGACCGGCCCATAGATTTCCACTGCTCTCCTCTCCTCTGCCTTCTGTGCATCCTCGCATCAGGCACTGGACCCAGCTGTTCCTCCTCTTCCTCATCAGCCACCTCCAGACCTGGGGGCTGTTGACTCTCCATCTGAGGGGTGAGGGATGGCCCAGGCTTCGCATCTCTCTCTCTCTCTTTCTTTCTCTCTCTTCTCTCTCTCCTCTCTCTCTCTCTTCTCTCTCCTCTCTCTCTCCCCCCTCTCTCTTTCTTTCTCTCTCTCTCTTTCTTTCTCTCTCCTCTTTCTTTCTCTCTCTCCTCTCTCCTCTCTCTCTCTCTCCTCTCTCTCTTTCTCTCTTTTCTCTCTCTCCTCTCTCTCTCTCTTTCTCTCTCCTCTCTTTCTCTCTCTTATCTCTCTCCTCTCTCTCTCTTTCTTTCTCTCTCTCCTCTCTCCTCTCTCTCTCCCCCTCTCTTTCTTTCTCTGTCTCTCTCTCTCTCTCCTCTTTCTTTCTCTCTCTTCTCTCTCCTCTCTCTCTCTCTCTCCTCTCTTTCTTTCTCTCTCTTCTCTCTCTCCTCTCTCTCCTCTCTCTCTCTTTCTCTCTCTCTCTCCTCTCTCTCCTCTCTCTCTCTCTCTCTCTCTCCTCTCTCCTCTCTCTCTCTCTCCTCTCTTTCTCTCTCTCTCTCTCTCTCTCTCTTTTTCTCTCTTCTCTCTCCTCTGTCTCTCTCTCTCTCTCTCTGCCAGCTCCATTCCCTCTTCCCCCTCGGAACTCTCAGGTTGCCTTGCTGTTGGCCCTGACCCCAGGGGTGGGTTCTACTTACCTTTACCTACTTACCTTTACTACCGGTTCACATCGTGCATGCACAGATCACTTCTGATGACGTCCGGGTCAGTGGGCGGAGCCTCCCGCCGGTTTTACTACCGGTTCTATAGAACCGGTCTGAACCTGGGGGCAACCCACCACTGCCTGATTCCCACGCCGCCTCCTCCTCCTCTGATTCGGCTGCTGGAGGGGCCGGCAGCCGATGGGCCACAACAAAGCCAAGAAAGGCAGGCAGAGTTGCTTCTAAGTAATTTCCTCTCTTGTTCCTCAACCTTAGTAAACTAAAAACCACTACAGGTAGCCCTTGACTTACAAGCACAACGGAGCCGAAAATTTATGCTGCTCAGTGAAACATTTGTTAAGTGAGTTTGGCTCCATTTTTAAGTCCTTTCCTGCCACAGTCGTTGAGTGGATCACTGCAGTTGTTCAATTGGTAAGACGGTTCTTAAGTGAATCTCGCTTCCCCATTGACTTTGCTTATCACAAAAGGGGATCACCAAACTCCCGGACACTGTAACCGTCATAAATATGAGACATTTGCCAAGTACGTGTATTTTGCTCACATGGCCATGGGGATGCCGCAATGGTCATAACTGTGAAAAATGGTCATATGCCCCTTTTTTTTTCAGCGCTGCAGCAGCTTCGAATGGTCACTAAGTGAAGTGTCGTAACTTGAGGACTACTTGTAAAGAGCAGAAGGGCTTTCTGGTTGTGTGCGGTGTACAGCAGCCCAAAATGACAAAGAGTCTGGGATAGGTATTCCTCAATTTACGACTAGGATTGAGCCGAAAATTTCTGTTGTTAACTCAGACAGTTGTGAAGTGAATTTTGTTCCATTTTATGACCTTTCTTGCCACAGCGGTTAAGTGAATCACGGCAGTTGTTCAGTTAGGAACACGGTCGTTAAGCGAATCTGCCTTCCCCATGGAGTGTGCATGTCAGAAGGTTGCAAAAGGGGACCCTGCGACCGTCGTAAATATGAACCAGTTGTCGAGTGTCTGAATTTTGATCGTGTGATCTAATGGTTGGAAGTGAGAAATGGCCATAAATCACTTTTTTTCAGTCTGTTGTAACTTCTAACCAGAGGTGGGTTTCAGCAGGTTCTGACCAGTTCTGACGAACCGGTAGCGGAAATTTTGAGTAGTTTGGAGAACCGGTAGTAAAAATTCTGACTGGCCTTCTATTCTCTGCCTCCCGAGTCCCAGCTGATCGGGAGGAAATGGGGATTTTGCAGTAACCTTCCCCTGGATTGGGGAGGGAATGGAGATTTTACAGTATCCTTCCCCTGCCACGCCCACCAAGCCACACCCACAGAACCGGTAGTAAAAATGTTTGAATCCCACCACTGCTTCTAATGGTCACTAAACGAATGCTTGTAAGTCAAGGACTATCTATCGTTAGTTCATTGGGAAAAAGGACAGCAGAATCTTCTGGATTTGGAGTGGCAAGCAGAATAATTGGATCGAGCAGCTGAAAGTGACTTTTTCTCCCTTTATTTATTAAAGCATATTAGCTCACTTCGCAGGCTCAGCATTCACCCAGAGATTAGAAATGCCGATATTAAACTGCGCTACAAACTAATTACAGCCAATGCTCTATAGATATTTTGGGGGCACTTTTGAGATTCGATGACAATTTTGTTGTCGGTCACACGGATGGATGGAACAGCTGCCGGTTGAGTAAAAGAAAACACGCTTTGAAGGTTGATCTCGCTGATTAACGTATTCGCGTTGCCATGGTATAGAAACCCTTGGCGTCTTCTCTCGAAATTGGAAATAGTCTTTTTTCTGGGAGAGAGAGAGAGAAAGAGAGGGAGGGAGGGGGAGAGAGAGAGAGAGAAAGAGAGCGAGAGAGGGAGGGTGAGGGAGAGAGAGAGAGAAAGAGAGAGGGAGGGAGGGGGAGAGAGAGAAAGAGAAAGAAAGAGAGAGACAGAGAGAGAGAGGGCTGGAGGGGGAGAGAGAGAGAGAGAAAGAGAGAGAGAGGGAGGGAGGGGGAGAGAGAGAGAAAGAGAGAGAGAGGGAGGGAGGGGGAGAGAGAGAAAGAGAAAGAAAGAGAGAGACAGAGAGAGAGACAGAGAGAGAGAGAGGGAGGGAGAGAGGGAGGGAGAGAGATTCAAGTCGCCAGCAAAAACAACGTAAATTCCAGGGGTGAAATCCAGCAGGTTCTGACAGGTTCTGGCGAACCGGTAGTGAACATTTTGAGTAGTTCGGAGAACCCGCAAATACCACCTCTGGCTTGCCCCAGAGTGGGGTGGGAATGGAAATTTTGCAGTATCCTTCCCCCTGGAGTGGGATGGGAATGGAGATTTTGCAATATCTTTCCCCCAGGAGTAGGGAGGGAATTGGGATTTTGCAGTATCCATCCCCTGGAGTGAGGAAGGAATGGGGATTTTGCAGTATGCTTCCCCCTGGAGTGGGGAGGGAATGGGGATTTTGCAGTATCTTTCCCGCAGGAATGGGGTGGGAATGGGGATTTTGCAGTATCCTTCCCCCAGGAGTGGGATGGGAATGGAGATTTTGCAATATCCTTCCCCGAGGAGAAGGGAGGGAATTGGGATTTTGCAGTATCCGTCCCCTGGAGTGAGGAAGGAATGGGGATTTTGCAGTATCCTTCTCCCAGGAGTGGGGAGCGAATGGGGATGTTGCAGTATCCTTCCCCTGCCACGCCCACCAAGCCACACTACACCCACCAAGCCACGCCAACAGAACCGGTAGTAAAAAAAATTGAATTTCACCACTGGGAAATTCCTGTTTTTATGTGACCGGACGGTGTCTTTTTTTTTCTAACCCAGGAAATGCTGAAGGACGAGGTGCGCACGTTAACCTACCGAAATTCCATATATCACAATAAGCACGTCTTTAAGGAGAAGGTTGTGCTGGATGTCGGGAGCGGCACGGGCATCCTTTCCATGTTCGCTGCCAAGGCGGGAGCCAAGAAAGTCTATGGGGTAAGGAGAAGGGATGCTAGTGATCGTTTCGCTTTGGCAGCGATGGTTTTTTTTCTCTCTCTCTCTTTGTTTGCCAGCTGGACTCCCAAACATCTGGCCCTGGGGAGGTCATCTGGGAAGTGTCCTAACCTGATAGGGAGGTCCTTTGATGCCTGGTCTTCCTTCCTCCAAGGACCTCATAGTCCTCCTCCTCTTCCTCCACCACCACAACCACCTCCACCATTCCACAAACCCTACTCTCTTCCAGCACTGATGATGTTACCTACTTTGGTAACGAAACATCTGCAAGAAAACAAGCAAGGTTCCCCTTGAGGAGCACCCGGAGGCTCCAACGGGCGCAGAGTGCGACCGCACGGGTGGTTATGGGAGAAACATGGCGTTCCCGTGTGACACCTCTCCTGCGCGAGCTGCACTGGCTCCCAGTGGTCTTCCGGGTGCGCTTCAAGGTTTTGGTTACCACCTTTAGAGCGCTCCATGGCTTAGGACCTGGTTATTTACGGGACCTCCTACTACCACAAACAGCCTCCCACCGGCCGGTACGCTCTCATAGAGAGGGGCTCCTCCGGGTGCCGTCAGCCAAACAATGTCGACTGGCGGCCCCCAGGGGGAGGGCCTTCTCTGTGGGGGCACCTACTATCTGGAACGAGCTCCCCCCAGAGATACGGAGGATCCCTGATCTGCGCACTTTCCGCCGTGCTCTTAAGACCCTCCTATTCCAGCAGGCCGGCCTGGCCTAATTTTCTCCCCTTTCTTTTAAATTTTTTCAACTGAAATTTTAATTTGTTTTTAAATTATTGGGAATTTTAATTGTCTTGGGCGAAATTATTTAATTTAGTTTTAATTTAGTTTTTAAACTTTTGTATGTATGTGTTTTATTTTGTGCCTGTTCACCGCCCTGAGTCCTTCAGGAGTAGGGCGGTATACAAATCTAATAAATAATAATAATAATAATAATAACAACAACAACAACAACAACAACAACAACAACAACAACAACAACAACAACAACAACATTGGAATACCTGGTGATGCACGAATTGAAGATAAGCAGCAAGAAAAAATCACAAAGTACCGGGACTTACAAATTGAAGTTGAGCGACTGTGGAAAAAGAAATCGTGTGTTGTCCCGATTGTAATTGGAGCCCTTGGAGCAATACCCAAAGGGCTACCCCGCTATTTAGAAATTCTTAATTTGCCGGACTTGAACATTTTGACTCTACAAAAAACCACCTTACTCGGAACAGTTTACATCCTCCGACGATACCTTAACAGTTCCTAGGTCCTTGGTTAGGACTCGAGCTGCTGAGCTATTAACCAGCCTCAAAGGCTGTGAATCTCACTAAAGATTAACTAATCATAATCATAATCATAATCATAATCATAATCATAATCATAATCATAATCATAATCATAGCAAGCTCAGAGAACACCATGGACCCCACAGTCCTCTTCTTCCTCTCCACACTCCCTCCTCCTCCTCTTCCTCCTTCTCCTCCTCCTCCATTCCACAAACCCTACTCCCTTCCAGCACTGATGATGTTACCTAATTTGATTAATGAAACATCTGGCAAGGAGGAGCCAAGCTCAGGGAGCATCCAAGGACTGACCTCTCATTTCCACCCTGAGCTACAAATATTCCCCGTTATCAATTGGCTTCTGCAGTACGAATGCCGTAGACATGATGCGTCTTCTTTTTAGCAAAGCGCTTGACCAAGGAGCCCACGCTACTCTGATGAGCAAGCTAGCTAACTGTAGATTAAACGGGACGATAATTGAATGGACACCTGTCTGGCTAGCTAGACAATCATTTTTCAGCGAGCGTTCATCAAGGACTCCTCCTCAGCCTGGAGTGAAATATTAATTGGAGCGCTCCAAGATTTGATCTTTCATCATTTTTATTAATGATCTGCAAGGAGGGAGAAATGACTGGCATCATGAATAAATAGAGGCTTCCTTTTGGCACAAAGTGGCCTTAGCAGCTTCAGCATGTAAGTACGGGTAGTCCTCAACTTACAACAGTTGTGAACTTCAACTCCCAGAATTCACTAGCCATCATAGCTGGCTGGGGAATTCTGGGAGTTGAAGTCCACACATCTTAAAGGGTTGAGGGTTGAGATGGCCATTGGACGACCGTAATTGGAATAAAGCCCATCTTTTTCTCCTCGTATTTGTTGCCATGCTTTCTTTGATTTCATTCAGGGGTCTCCAAACTTGACAACTTACAGCAGTGATGGCTAACCTTTTTGCTGTCGCGTGCCAAAAGCATGAGGAGCATAGGGGGATTGTGCGTACGTGTGCCCACACGCAATGCCCCCTGTGCCCCGCCCCCCTGGCATGTGTGCGCGACCCCCCGCGCTTCCCCCACTTTTGGCACGTGATGGCACGGTGGGACCGGTAGGCCTGTTTTCGCCCTCCCCAGGCTCCAGAGGCTTTTTTGGAGCTTGGGGAGGGTGAAAATGTCCTTCCTCACTGCCCTGGAGGCCCTCTGGAGGCCGGAAACGGCCCATTTCCTGACTTCCGGTGGATCCGGAAGGCCCCCAAAATCAGCTGACTGGCGTGCACATGCATACTGGAGCTGAGCTAGGGCAACGCTTGTGTGCCCACAGATATGGCTCCACGTGGCATAGGTTCGCCATCACGGACTTATAGACTCTGGACTTCAATTCTTAGAATGCTGGCTGAGGAATTCTGGGAGTTGAAGTCCACAAGTCTTAAAGTTGCCATTTTGGGGAGACCCTGTGCTAGACAGCAACATGAAGTGTGAAGGAACCAGTGGTGGGCTCCTCCCGGTTCGGTCCGGTTCAGCCGAACTGGTAGCGGTGACGATATGAAGGAAGGAACCTTTGTCTTGGTAGAAGAATAGCCTCTATGGAATAAGCTTATGATGTCTACATATACAATTTGATTCATCTAAGATGCTCAGTGTTGGGCTTCCTTTCCCCCCTTCTTCTTTTCTATCTTGCAGATTGAATGCTCCAGTATATCTGACTACTCTGAAAAGATTATCAAATCCAACCACTTGGATCACAGTAAGACATATCGATGAAGATCGGTTCCATCTGCTGTTTCCATTTTCCTTATTTTCAGTGTCTTAATCGATGCTTTGTAGATGGGTTTTACGGTATTTATGATATAAAGACTTATACTTTTATGTCATTCCAAACGTTAAATTTTGTAGATGCTGTTTTTTTTTAATGGAAATTATTTCAATAAAAGGAATTTAATTATTAAAATTATCTGCCTTTCAATTAGATTAAAGTGGTCTACAGGTAGGTAACTTTAATAAATAAATTACTTAACTTTTTCCTATGATTACTTAGCTTTTCCTATGATTATTTAACTTTTCCTAGGGATAAAAGACTGCGGAAGTTTTGTGGCTTCCGGTATTTCAAGAATCCCTCTGGATTTGGGACTTTAATCATTCTGACCTTGTCTTTCTTCTTAGTTTCATAAGTAGCAGTTAATGAACTTGGAATGAAGTCCATAAATCCCCCTCCAATTATTTCTCCCATGATCAAAATCTCTGAAAAGGAACATTTTGATTCCGTTTTTAATAGGCAAGATAAACTTACCTCCTCCAAAAGCCAATTCAGTTAGCTGCCTTTCTTCCCATCGGTATCAATGAATCGCCTAAATTAATTTTGCAGCTGTAGTTGCTTTCCATGTTCCTTATGCTATTCCATTTCATTATTTTTTTTACCAGCGCAGCTCAGACAAAAATAGGAAGGCCGATCAGACATTTTTCCATTTGTCTTAAGTTTGCTTTTAACATTTTTTAACAACATTTTCAAAACATTTACTTGGTACTTATCCAAAGTCTTTTAACATCTCTACATGTGTGCATTTGACTTGTGTTTCCTATGAAGAAATTTCTATGCGTCTCTGTTAAGCTTCATTATGTTCTTCCCGGTCCGTTTCTGTAGCTTATCAACATCATTTGAATTACCGGCATGTTACTTTCTCCCCAGAATATTAGCTGTCCCACTCTATGGTGTCATTTGCTATTTTGATAAGCATACCCTCCATCTCAATCATTTATGAAAGTGCTGAAGAACGGTGGAGCAGAGGTGGGTTTCAACAGGTTCTGACCAGTTCTGGAGAACCGGTAGCAGAATTTTTGAGTAGTTCGGAGAACCGATAAATACCACCTCTGGCTGGCCCCGCCCCCATCTATTCTCTGCTTCCCGAGTCCCAGCTGATCGGGAGGAAATGGGGATTTTGCAGTAACCTTCCCCTGGATTGGGGAGGAAATGGAGATTTTACAGTATCCTTCCCCTGGATTGGGGAGGAAATGGAGATTTTACAGTATCCTTCCCCTGCCACGCCCACCAAGCCACACCCACAGAACTGGTAGTAAAAAAATTTGAAACCCACCATTGCTGTGGACTCAAAATTAATTCATGTTCCACTCCACTTGATATCTTTCTTCAGGTAGATGGGGAACCATTGATGAGAATTCTTTGAGGACAATTTGCAAGCCAGCTATGTACCTCTCCAGATCAGACTTAACTCCCTTCTTAATCGGCATGTAATGGAGTACTTTGTCAAATGCTTTGCTGGAGTCGATATATATATTTCTGTGTAGCTTTTCCAGTTTTAATCGCTTATTAGCTACAGGTTTGATCCAGGGGTGGGTCCTAATTTTTTTTACTACCGGTTCTGTGGGCGTGGCTTATTTTGTGGGTGTGGCTTGGAGGTCATGTGACTAGGTGGGTGTGGCTAGCTGGTCAGAGTCATTTCTGGAAGGTCCTCGCACTTACGAACCAGTCCTCGCACTTACGACCTGACTCATTTGTTTGCTTTTAACACTGATCAGCTGTAGGGCGGCCCTTTGAAGCCCCGCGGCAAGAGTTTAAACAGTTTTTTTCCCTCTAGTCATCAGCTGGGACTCAGGAGGCAGCAATAGATTGGGGGTGGGACCAAATAAAAGGTAAGAATAACGTGGGGGGGGGGGGAGAACCGGTTTGGTGATGTCATATCGTCACCGCTACCGGCTCGGCCGAACCGGACCGAACCAGGAGGAACCCACCAGTGGTTTGACCACACTCTAAGCTGATTTTGAAGCATTCGTTATGAATGTATCCTGTCTGAACTCATGCCAGTTTATCAGGACTGATTATTTGAAAACAACAACAACAAGGAGAACAAATACTTTCAGTTTAATTTAGCTTGATCCTCATTTTTACACCTCGTGATTCTGTAATACATTAAAGAGTATTCAGTTATAGGACTATATAGCTTCTGGCACACACACATACATACCCTACAAACATACACCTCCTGTAAGTGTGATACAGAACTGTTGATGACCTTGTGTTGGGAGTCCAGTTTTCCTGATGCTTCTGATTCCTCCAATATGACTTCAATGCTGTCCCTAAATAATACAGAATGTCACCAGACAGGAGAGTTGAGAGTTATGCTGACCACAGCCCATCTATTAAGAAAGCGAATTGATTATAAAAATAAGTGAAGTGTCAGGGTTCTGATGGATGCCCTAATTAAATCATGAATCACGAGCCAAGCTTCAAAAGAAATCCAGTTATTTATTAGGAGCTTCATGTCGGCACGTTCCCAAGTGAAACCAGCTCTGACCCTACATAATTTACACTCCAATTATGACCCTGTTTCCCCCCCTCCCATCATCAATCACATTCGCCTACCGAGCAATTTCACCGATTGTAGAGCTCACTCTCCTCGGCTGCTGTAGGTAACCCTGGGATACAGCCTTGAGAGAGATAAGCGTGGAATGTGCATCTGCCTTTGGCTGCTGTGCCATTTCGCCGGTTTTCCAATCCCCCCTGGCCTATGGCAAACTCAAGAGCAGGCCAGGGATGCTTTGCGAATTAACAGGAAGGTTACGTGTTGATTTATTTGCATTCCACCTTTTTTCCCCCTTCGATGTATATTTGAAGCAGTTAGCAAAATATTTTAAAGCAATAACAGAATAGGAACCTTTTTTTTAAAAAAAAGCCCTACACAATTAACATTGAGATTGTCACAGATAACTAAAAATGTTGTGAAAAAAAGGTGCGTTTGCAGATTTTTCTAACCATCCAGAAGTGTGGGACAATGCAACTTCTCAGAAAGAGCTGTGTGTGTGTGTGTGAGCAGAAACACAGAGAGCCTGGTGGCGCAGCAGACTAATAGCCTGTTATTAACATTCAACTGCCTGCAATTACTGCAAGTTCGAATCTCCCCAGGCTCAAGGTTGACTCAGCCTTCCATCCTTTCTAAGGTAGGTAAATTGAGGACCCAGTTTGTGGGGGCAATTAGCTGAATTTGTATAAAAGTATACAAAAGTATGAAGGCTATTGCTTAACACATTGTAAGCCGCCCTGAGTCTCCGGAGAAGGGCGGCATATAAATCAAATTAAAAAAACAAAAACAAAAAACACAGGGCTGGGCTGGAGGGCATTTTCCATAATGCTCTTTCCTCGGCCCCCATAGCTTAGTGGACGAGAGGTTCATTTGATGATCAGGCCCTGTGGTGTTCAAAGCTTTAGAGCTGAATAGTTACGCTTATGCCTTAAATCAGAGGCCCCACCAACCTTTGGGGCACCAGAGAAGTGGACCGGAGTGGGTGTGGTTTTACATGCTGCCTGTATCCCGTGGATTTATTTATTAGTCATATTTCTATGCTGCCCACTCTCTGAGGACTCTGGACGGCTTACAGCAAAGACAGTATACTAAATAGCATATTGCCCCCAACAATCTGGCTCCTCATTTTACCTACCTCGGAAGGATGGAAGGCTGACTCAACCTTGAGCCGGTGAGATTTGATCCGCTGATCTGCTGAACTAGCAGTCGGCTGAAGTAGCTGCAGTACTGCACACTAACCACTGCGCCACCTCGGCTCCACTTGTTTGTGCGGCCCAGTTTCTGGCATGTCGTGGCCCAGTGCTGGTCCATGGACCGGGAGTTGGGGAGGGGAACCCTGTCTTAAATTGTGCCCAGGAATCAACTGGCAGCTGTACAAATTTGGCATGTTGAAATCAGTGGTGGGTTTCAAAAATTTTTACTGCCGGTCCTGTGGGTGTGGCTTGGTGGGTGTGGCTTGGTGGGCGTGGCAGAGGAAGGATAGTATAAAATGTCCATTCCCATCCCAATCCAGGGGAAGGATACTGCAAAATCCCCATTTCCTCCCGATCATCTGGGACTTGGGAAGCAGAGAATAGATGAGGGCGGGGCCAGTCAGAATTTTTACTACCGGTTCGCCGAACTACTCAAAATTTCCGCTACCGGTTCTCCAGAACTGGTCAGAACCTGCTGAAACCCACCTACGGTTGAGATGCCTCTACCCCGCATTGTTCAGCAGCCAAGGGGCCAATTTTGCAAGAACTATTACCTTCCAGAGACTTTCAAGAGTAGCCCCATCTGGAGCATATTGCAGTAGTCAAGAAGGGATATACAGTTGTGGCCAAAATTGTGGAAGCCTTTTGGGGAAAAGTGTATTTTCTACAACTAGTTAATAACACCACTTTGGAGTAGTACCATAACGTTACTGGCCTCCCACCGACCAGTACGGTCCCACAGAGAGGGACTCCTTAGGGTGCCGTCAGCCAGGCAATGTCGGCTGGCGACCCCCAGGGGGAGGGCCTTCTCTGTGGCAGCTCCTGCCCTCTGGAACGATTTGCCCCCGGAGATACGAAGGATATTGGATCTCTGGGTCTTTTGCCGTGCCCTAAAAACTTTTCTTTTCCATCAAGCAGGGCTGGCGTGAAACCCACCCCCCCTTTTCTAGCTTTTTTAGCTTTTTAAATTGTCAATGGGTTTTAGTTTGAATGTTTTAAATTTTGGGGCCAAAGTCATAAAATTCTTTTAAAAATTTTAAATTTTGTATTGGTATGTGTTTTAGTTTTGGCTGTGCACCACGCTGAGTCCACTAGGAGAAGGGCGGTATACAAATTGAATAAAATATAAATATAAATATTATATATCAATGGAAAGATAATTTAATCGAGAATGTAATGCAAGAACTTTTATGAAGGATTTGCTATTAGAATAGCAGTTACAGTATAAAGAAGAAAAG